CCGGCGGGATGCTGAAAGTGAGTTCAGGAGTGAGCAGATTCCTAAACCAGATGTCAAACATGACCTTTTCGAAATGTGAAATATTTGTCTCTGCAGAGTCTTTAGAGATCATTGCCATGGCTGCCACTCATTCCAACTCTGCCATTAGGAAAACAGTGAGTGTTCTTTATCTGCTGCACAAATGAATCTCTAGATTACGTTTAACGTAATAACAGAGTCAGTCACGTAATAACTGACTCTCATTTTAATAACATCTTCCAAAAATTCAAAAGTCAGGCTAAAATTATGTATTATTAAGTGCTTTTCTCTTGAAACCTACAATATATTCAAGATTGTTTTGTGCTCTTTCTCTTTATACTGTCTTCTGTCTCTTAGGAAAACCTTAAGAAATTGCTGGAGATTTATGAGATGCTGGGGGAGGAAGAGGACGTTGTGAACCCTTCGAATGAGTTAATAAAAGAGGGTCATATTCTGAAACTGGCAGCAAGAAACACTTCAGCCATGGACAGATATCTCTTCCTAGTAAGTCCATGCTGGCCATTGATGAGTTCTGATTATAGTAGCATTTGGCAATGTATTATTATAAATCTCTATGAACTTTTCCCACAGTTCAACAACATGCTGCTGTACTGCGTTCCAAAGTTCAGCTTGGTGGGACAGAAGTTTACGGTTCGCACACGTATCGGCATTGATGGCATGAAGGTGACGGAGACGTACAATGAGGATTATCCTCACACCTTTCAGGTTTCTGGAAAGGAACGGACACTGGAGCTGCAGGCCAGGTACAGACTGGACCAACTGTGCTTGCGTTCATAGTGCATACTGTGTATTCTTCAATACTGGGTGTTTTTAATGGTTGTCTTAGGGTAAATGGTTTTAACTGTTGCCTTATTACAGCTCTGAACAGGATAAAGAAAGCTGGATAAAGGTAAAAATGTAATATCAATGTTGATTATTATCAAGTCATTGGAAGTCCATTTTTAAAATGTCTTCATTTGTGTTTTAGGCGTTCCAGGAAACGATACACATCTATCTCCAGAAAAATGAGACCTTTAAGTCAGCATTCAAAGATGTGGAGGAAGTAACGGTCAGTGTGTGTCTTCTTAGAAGTGTTATAGAAGAGCATATTTAGAACGTTGAATTATTTAAATAAACAATTAAATGACACATTTTTAATTATTTAAATTAATAATTATATAAAAATGATTTAAATTAATACAATATTGAATTATTTAAATATGATTTAAATAAACAATTAAATGATTAAATGTTTTTGTTATTTAAATTATTCACATTAATAATTCAATTAATATTATTTAAATTAATAAAAGATTAAATGGAATAAGACAGAAAATATGTGACGTGATTTTTTTTATTTCATGCAAATTTAACCTAATTTTTCATCTTTTAAAAACGATTATTATTTAAATTTAAAATTATTCAGTTATTTAAATAAATGATTAAATCAAAATGATTTATATTAATTTAGCCATTGTATCATGTCTCAATTCTATAAATAAGTACTACATGAATGGTAATGTTAGTTTAATTAGATATTTTAATCTTATTGTGCAAGTCCGAGGTTCATGTTTTGTGCATATGTTCTTATGTGTGCACATAATGCAGGACTATAGAGTCATAGTAGTCCAAATTTGTTTGTTTTTATTGTTTACACATGTCTATATTTCTGTGTAGGATCTCAAGATATCAGAACTGGGTAAAAGAGCTCCTCGCTGGATTCGAGACAATGAGGTGACCATGTGCATGAGGTGCAAAGAGGCCTTTAATGCCTTAATGCGCAGGAGACATCACTGTCGGGCCTGTGGATACGTAAGCAGCAGCAAACCAAAAACATTCTGTTTTCACAATTTCAAAATGCTTGTCATGTGCTGAAATGTCTATTTCATTCAGGTGGTCTGCGGGAAGTGCTCAGACTACAAAGCCCCTCTGGAATATGATGGGAATAGGATGAACAAGGTGTGCAAAGACTGTAACTCCATCCTGACAGGCAATATAGACAGTGAGGAGAGGGAGGGCAAGAAGAAGGGCATTCTAGAGGTGAGTTCAGGATCATGTGACCTGGGGTCAGAGCTGCATTCTTTAATGTATCAATGACCACACACTGTACTGTCAGAAAAAAAGGACATCATATAACCTTTATATATATACAGTTTCGGAAGAAAATCCGACGTCCACGAACTGTTGCGGTGAATTCGGCAGCGGTAAGATCGGTCGGTAACACTTTATAATAACTTGCGGTAACCAGTCATTAACAAACATTCAGTAATGCTTAACAGATCAGTTGATGTACATTCATGAGTATGTATGAAAAAATACAAACTCAAGTTTAATTTCTAACTAATTTACATGAACTAATGATCTGTTTAGCATCATGTAATGCAATAATGTTAATATTATTAATAAAGCTTATTATATAGTGTTACCACTGGTACCCTGATGTTTTAACGTTCTGGTTTGGTAACACTTTAGAAGAGGGAGCAAAGCTACAACGATTATGGAAATCGTTTTTAAAATACATTTGTGAAGTATCAGTTTTGCTTGTTCCCTGTTCTAAATTGTCACTTTGTGCATCATTGAAGCAAACTGACTTTTGATGAAGTGCGCTGGCTTATCACAAATACTGAAAAACTGAACCCTTTTCTTTTACCTTCTTTTTGTTTTATTCACTTTCAGTGAATGTCAGATTCATATTTCACCTCAAAATTACAATAAAAAAATTGATTTTGCATAAATTAAATGAAGGCTTATTTTTATTGAATCCAGTTTTTTTGCACTTTAGTTTGAATTTTTTATTTGTCATTGTTATTTTGTGCATTGTTGATGACTGTCATTACATGAGTTTTTCTATTATTGAAATCAGCAATTTAACACATACTTCAATATATATTTTACAATATATATAGTATACATTCCAAGCAAATACTTCAATAATTAGGTCCATAAAGTTTTTTTTCCCCCCATGTTTATTTAAGCAAATTATTCCTCTGGTTTTGAAATTGCACAAAAATAAGACAGAAATAAGTTAAACTATGAAATGATAAGTCAAAAATCAGTTAAACTATGAAACAACCAATATAATAAAAAATATAGTGTAAAAATTGTATGATAATTAGCTAATACTTCAAACCACACACACACATATATATATATACAGTATCTCTCAGAAGTGAGTACACCCCTCACAT